CAAATTGGTAGTTTGTGTTGGTATATTATGCTTTTCTACCTATTTGGGCTGGCCCATTCAATTTATCCTGCCTTCACATCAGTCCCCAATAATTAATGTTGTTAGTTATATCATGAGAGGAGCAAAACATGTTGTGTTTTGGATGTAAAGGTTATGCCTTTTCAGCAGAGGTTCCAGCAAAAGAAGCACAACAAGCAAAGCAAGTCTTCTTCAGAGGCACTTTACTTTAAACAAAATAAAGAAAATAGCAGCAGACGTGCACTCCTACACACCCATTTTAACCCACTCTAACCCACAACAACCGTTCTGGCGTTTCTCCTTATATACAGGCCTATTTACATTATCTCTTGATGAGCTGCAGCTGTAGTGAGCTGCAGCTAGCCTTCTCTAGGAAAGCTTCCAGAAGCTCCGGGAACAAATGCATAGTTTGACCAGACCACGACAAAACAGCAGCATGGCTGTAAAATTGTGTGACAGGGGAGAGGAGCTTATCAATTTAAGAAGATAAGCATTATGTAAGCATTTCTAACTATCATCTGGCAATTTTTCCAACTGGCTAAGGAAATCTCATTAGACGGAGTACTGGTGTTTGCATTTTCTTGTTTTTCCTCTCCTCTTTCCCTCTCCATCACCCTTTCCTATCATGTCTGCTTAGATGGCAAGCTTGAAGGCAAGGACTGTCCTATTTTTATTCATCTGTAAGCTGCTGTGGCCATTTTTGCAGCTGTAGAGTGAAATATAGCATTATAAATAAACGCTAAATGTACAGACAGATAAATCTGGCATTGTAAAAGTTAATCTGTTTGAGGGTAGAGTAGGTAGCCCCTTCCCCACAAAAAAAAAAACCTGTGTCCCAATTCAAATAGCCTGGATAGCCTTGATGGTGAACATCCACGCACGCCAAGTTAAAAGTGATATTGCTAAATGCCAGGTCAGGAAAGCTACGATCCAGTATTTGATCTGGATGGATGAAGCTGGGGGAGTTAGATGTATCCAGCTGAGTTCTTTGTGCGGAAGTAAGCCAGAACTGGTGGGCGGGGAGGAGAAGTTGCAATAGTCTATCAGAATTCAATAAGATGTTGTGTCCCACAGATGGCAAAGTTTGATTGCATGTACTATAGAGAGGATGTCGGGGAGAGAATACAGATTCTGTTGGCATACTGCCCACTCCATTGAGCAAGAGCTTGAGTTAGCTGAGTCGGTATCAGGTGTGTTGGGGCATGGTGGACTTCAACATCCACATAGAGACCAGTTTATCAGGACATCTGTTATTTATATAGTATTTTAAAACTGTTGATTGTTTTATAGTTTCAGTTGTTTTGAGTAACCTTGGGTTAATCCCCTATGGGTGAAACATATACTGCCCACTCCATTGAGCAAGAGCTTGAGTTAGCTGAGTCGGTATCAGGTGTGTTGGGGCATGGTGGACTTCAACATCCACATAGAGACCAGTTTATCAGGACATCTGTTATTTATATAGTATTTTAAAACTGTTGATTGTTTTATAGTTTCAGTTGTTTTGAGTAACCTTGGGTTAGTCCCCTATGGGTGAACCATAATAAACAAAACCAACCAAACAAACAAATAAAATCTTGACTTCAAGTCTGTGATCCCTAAGTATTTCTGCTAGGACCTAAATTATTTTGGACTCAAAAGAAACATTAGGAAACCTCTCGTAGTAACAGCTTCTCAGTGGTAGAACAGACTGCTGTGCGAGGTGGCAGCTCCCCCTTACCAGAGTTGGATGACTAAGAGTCAGATGTCATGGCCAGTATCCTGTTCAATATTTATATAGGTAGAGTTCCAACTGTAAACACTGCCATTGCAATCGGAGCTGGCAGCGTGACCATACAAGCTACTATGCATAAGTATCTCATCAGATCACTGTGGAAGCTTCTGCAGTTGGGGATCCATGTGTGTAAATTCTGGAAGAGGACATTGGCCTATGAGTGTTGGTCAGGATAGATCCTTCTCATATAGGGCTCTGATACGATGGCCTGACCTGACTGCAAGACCAGGCATGCTACACTGTGCAACAGATCACATTGAAGGCTTCTGCAGTGTGCATAAACACTGAATAATCTGTGAGTCTTTGTAAAAGTAAGATCTTCTCACAGATGACTGGACTTCTTAGAGGTCTGGTGTCCCACTTGAATTCTTGCTGAAGATAGTTTTGGAGAGCAGGAAGAGCCGCTATAACTCAAAAAGCCATAACTTGTAACCTTACCCAGTCAAGCCCCAGATTTCAGCAGGCTCTGGGGTGTGCTTTCTAATATTCAGGTTCACTTACATTTGAAGTAATCGTAATTAAATGTCAGTGGTCGTGAATGTGGACAGAATGACGTTCTACACACAAATGCAAAATAATTCAATCCACCTCTCTGTTGCACACACAAACACACTCATTTCACGACCACCACACCATTTTTATTGCAGAGCCTCCACC